ACGGAGGTAGGGGCTTGCATTTCAGTGATAGCCCGGATTTTTTCTGGGTTGGGCTCTATTCCTCTCTTGGTCACCATGAATCCCAAGAACTTCCCGGTACGAACCGCGAAGACGCATTTCTTAGGATTCAGCCGGAGGTTGTACCTTGCCATGATATCGAACGTGGCTCGCATATCAGCCGGGTGGTTCAGAGATACCTGGCTTTTGATCAGCATGTCGTCGACGTATGCCTCCATGGTCTTTCCCAGTAGTGGCTTGAAGAGTTTGTTCACCATACGCTAGTAGGTTGCCCCCGAGTTCTTCAAGCCAAACGCCATTACCCGGTAACAGTAGGTTCCTCCGGGTGTGAGGAATGACGTCTTCTCTTCATCTTCCTTGGCCATGTAGATTTGGTGGTAACCTTTGAAGGCATCCATGAAACTTAGGAGTTCGCACCCCGCAGTTTCGTCCACCATTTGATCTGGACTGGGAAGGGGGTATGAATCCATCGGACAAGCCTTGTTCAAGTCCGTATAATCCACACACATTCTCCATGTGTCGCCCTTTGGAGCAAGGACAACGTTGGCCAACCAATCCGGGTATTTGACTTCCCGGATGTGACCAACACTGAGGAGGTCCTTCACTTCCTTCTTGACGAACTCTCGCCGGTCACTGGCCAGGTACCGCTTCTTCTGTCGTACCGGTCGACTTCCCTCCCTCACGGCCAACCGGTGGCAGATAACAGAGCGATCTATCCCGGGCATATCCGCCACGCTCCATGCGAATATGCCCGCGTATTCTTGGAGGACCCGTGTAATCTGTGCCTTGTTATCCTCGGGGAGATTTGCTCCAATTCTGACCACCCTCGAAGAATCACCCGGGTGAAGTTCGATTTCCACCGTCTCGGCCTCGGGCTCCAATTTCTCCCGGGTCTCTCCCTTTGTGATCTCTTGGGAGATGACATTGACCCCCTTGGTCATTTTCTTGACTGCCCGGGCATAGCACTCCCGGGCGTTCCTCTGGTCGCCCTTCACCTCACCCACACCACCTGGAGTGTGGAATTTCATGCATAGATGAGGCATGGAAATCACCGCCCCGACTCTATTGATGCCTGGCCTTCCAAGAATTGCGTTGTGGACGCATTTGATGTCCACAACTATGAACCGCATCTTCTTCCACACGGTCTTTTCACCTGATCCTAGTTCGGCCGGTAGAACTATGGATCCTTCAGCTTCAACGGTGTCCCCCGTGAAGCCTGAGAGAGGGGTTTTGAGGGGTTCAAGTTGTGTTCGACACAACCTGAGTTTTTGGAAGGTCTCCAGGTATAAGATGTTGACACTGCTGCCGATGTCAACAAGTACCCGGGCGACATCCACCCCATTAATGTCCATGGTGATGACCAATGGATCATTGTGATCTTCACCGGTAGGAGGGAGATCCCGGTCAGTAAAGACGATAGGCTCCCTCCTAGTATGTTTACGCCTGGGCGGTTCAGCACTTACCTCTCCAACGTAAATGCTCCGGACCAAGTTCTTCCGCTGCGCGGCTGAATCTCCACCCTCGGGTCCGCCGAAGATTATGCCGATGTGCTCTTTTTCGGGAGCAGGTTGCCGCTCCCTTGGCTGGTTATTCCTCCGCCGGTCGTTGTCTCGGTCATCTCCCAGGGCAGTTGGCCTAACCCATTGATGACTCTTCTCTTGGGCTTTCTGCAAGTAATCCTTGCCCAGCTCTCCACTGCATTCGGAGATGTTATGGGAATCTGACCTGTGGTACGAACAATAGGTGCCCGACCACTGCCGCCTTACTTGACCGGTAGGGTTTTCTGGAGGAATGACCGGTGCTTTCCGGACTTCTTGGCATTCTTCCGTATTGACCACTCGGATGACCGGGTCATAGTGGTGCCTCGGCCGGCTAGGTCCCGGTGCTTCTTCCTTCTTGACTTGCACCGGCTTGGACTTGTGACCATGCTCAGCTTCTCTCTTTGCCTGGAGCTGGGTTTCAGCTTCAGCAAACTCCCATGCGGTGTGGTAGGCCTCTTGATACGTGGCTGGGAGTTTCCGGCAGAACTCCTTGTATAGTTCCCCAGCACGCAAGCCATTCAAGAGGAGGGATAGGACGGTCTTGTCATCCATCTCTTCCGCCTTGTCTACCTCTTCCTTCCACCGGGTAAGGAACTGAGTAAGGTTCTCATACTCCCTCTGCCCGGCTGTACTAAGATAGGTGAATTTCTTCCTCTTAGTACAATTCTCCTGGAACTTGGCCTTGAATTTTGAGGCCAAATCACTGAACGAATCAATGCTTCCCGGGCGAAGCTTATTGAACCATTCAGTGGCTCGGTTCCGCAAGGTTTGGAAGAAAAGAAGGCACTTTTCTTCATCGGTGCAACCGTTCATGGTCGCACTCTGGTTGAAGGAATCCAGATGGATTTCCGGATCTTCCTTCCCGGTGAACCTAGGGGCGTCAATCTTGACCTTTCGCGGGAAAGGTGTCAGATGGACCCTTGTGGTGAACGGGGACCCCGCCAAGGGTTTGTCCCGGTCATTCTTTTCCCCGACCTTCCTTTCCAGCCTTTCCAATTTTGCCTCCATCTGCTGGACGCGGTCATTTGGGATGGTCAACCGGTTTGCCACCGGTAACCTGGGCTGGCTCTCTGCTTCCTCTTCTTGACGAGAGGCCCTCGTCCTTGCTGGCTCCTGCCGGTTAGACCGGGAGCGCCGGGTGCGGGCAGGCTCGGCCTCCCGCACCTCGCCTAGCCGGGCGAACGCGCTGACATGGGCAACGCTCTGCCCCAGCCTTTGCTTGGCTGACTTCCTCTGGCCTTCCTCCCTATCCCCCAGCCTTTCGAAGGCGGAGTTTCGGGAGGTCGCTGGCCGGATGTTTTTCCCTTTCTTCTTCTTGTGGGACCTTGGAATGTCCCACTCGCCGTCATCACTCTCAATTGAGACGCAATGACCATCAGGGGTGACTTGCGGATTCGTACCTTACGGGGGACGCGACGGCCCTGCAGCGTTAAGTGCGCCGGCCAAGTTGACAGGGGCCATGGTGCTGACCAGCTGGGGCTGGAAAGGTGATGGCTGCGGCATTGGCGTCTGGAACGACGTCACCGCCATCGGGGCTTGTAGGGGCATGGTTCCCGCGCCTGGAAGAGCGAACGGAAACATACTAGGGAGAAAAGGCATCCCCCCACTCTGTTGGCACATGGCCATGACCTGGCCAAAGCCCTGGATGGCTTGTAGGTTGGCTGGGTCATTCATGAACTGGGTCATGCTTGGTGGGAACGTGACCCTCGGTCCAGCGGAAGGGACGGGGGTCGCGAAGGGACTGATCACGCTGGCCGTCGGGACAGAGCTCAGACCCAAAGGCAACACCGGGGCTGAAATGACCGGTATGGTAGCAGCCACAGGGATGCTGGCTCCCTCGTTGGTGGCTTGCACCTGAGCGGAAGTAGCATTGATTTGTTGGCTGGAAGACATTTCGAGCGGTGTTTTGGTGGGTAGGTTTGTGTTTAGGAGAAGAAACCTTAACGGTCCCACGGTCGGCGCCAAAAATGATGGTGTAAATTACTTGACCGGTCAAACTATACTAGATCGGGTCTAGAATAGTTTGTTCGATTTGGCAAAGTAAGAAAGGTAAAAACACGCAGATTGACCGGTAGGACTTTAGGTGGAACACCTGTATCCCAATTTATATTATAACGGAGAATGCACGGGTGCTTTTACAAGGGAGTTTTAGAGAGAATGAATTCCGATCCCTCTTTCTGAGGTTTACATGAGTATTTATACTAGGCTATGGGGGACAAGACCACGTGCACCCACGTGGGGGCATGCTGCTGATGTGGTGCGAGGTGACTGGTTTCGTCCTCGAGCTGCCTTGTCGCCTTGTGAGGGGGATCATTCCCTTTGTCGAGTAGTGCCTTGGATGGATTCTTCAGCATCTCCCGTTGTCCTCTACTGACACGGGTCGCTACACGCCAAGCCCTCGCAGATCCTCTTCTGCTGACACTTTCCAACCCCAGAAACTACACCGGGTAATCTCCGAGGGATGAATCCATCGAAGTCTGGAATAAATAGGATGACAACGTAGTTTGACCGGTATACTTTTTTGTGAAGTATACCGGTCATCTTTTGGCCGACGATACATCGTTTTGCTGATGATTTAAGTCTTCCTTCCAAAACTTTCGAGATTGACCGGTCAACTATATGGTCTTCTCCTTTGACCGGTTGTGGGTGGAATACACCCATCACATACATATTTAAAAACTACATCAAAAGTTCAACAAAACAAGTAGTGACAAGAATATTTTATTTTATCATATAGGCCATGAAAAAACACAAATAAATATAAATTCCCGTGAAGTTAGAATAGTGCTCTGGGAAGATCATTATAGGACGGAGGTAGTATTTGGTAAAAAAAATTATACACTTTGACTACAAATTGTGAGAAAAGTATATTAAATTATAATATAAATTTAATATAATTGGATTCATCTTAGGATCTAGTTTTGATATAACAAATTTTTATAACATTTCTTTATTTAGTTATATATAATTTATGGTAAAAGCGTGTAACTGTTTGACCAATAATACATCAAAATGGGCAATATAAAAACTTGATTATCTATCGTTCTAGTTGATTTATGCATTTTTATTAATTACGAAGTATTTGATATAACCAGATATTCTTGTCATTTTTTGTTTTGTAAAATTTTTTTATGTAGTTTTTTAAATATATAAGTTTATTTTTATTTATGTCTTAATCTTTAATCTTTAAGTAAAATGGATTTAAAAAATTTAAAAAAAAATCATTTTCTGCAATTTGTAATCAAAATAAGAACCGAGAGTATTTCAGCACTCATTTTTTTCTCAAAAAAAAAAAAGATTTGAAATTTGTTGTGACATAAAAGCATAGGTGAACTGTACTGTCGGCAAATGTTTTTCGTTTAGCATTGGGTGATGATAAAAGCACTTAAATTGTTTTTAGTGGAATTCCACTCCCATATTTATTTTATTTATCTCCCTAATATGCCCCTCTATATACTCCGTATCTTTCTCTTTGAAAAGCACTAATTCTTCATTATTCACAAATAATTCCTTAATTTCATATTTATGTGTGTTAGATTTTTCATTTTCAAATAAAGCTATAAGTAATGGAGATGCTCACCAAATGGACCTCCCCAACTTGTCACACATTCATTGAATTTGTCATAACTATGGAAGTGTTACGTTGGTTGCAATTTTGCTATCTTCAATGAGAGAGAGTCTTAAGAATCTCTTCTCTAGACTTTATTATTGCCGCAGATAAATAGTTGAAAAAGTTTAGAAGACAGTTCTTTTAATTTCGAGATTCACTTCCAAAAATTTAGTCATTTATTATCATATACTACACGTTATGTTTGCAGTCCTTTTTTATGCATAACCTTCCATAGACACTCCTATTTTAACATCTCTCATGTTGATGTTAAATTGAGAGTTAAAAGTATAACTTCACAACGACCAAAGATGACATATTCTAATTAAGCTTGACGGACAACATCATAATAATGACCATAACTCTGAACTAGTATTCTGACCAGATACGATATCAGTACACTATAGTTGCCGTAAACAGCGACTTTAGTTGACAAACAATGCATCATCAGCCGACCTCTGACATTGGCTATAACAAGAAAGATATACAATCATTTAGAAATTACATTTTTAATCCGAATTTAATACTAACATGAAAAAATGTCAAAAAAGATTATCCACAAAAAGGTACCCATAAAACATAATGATTTTCTCGATGTAGTACCATGTATTTTATTTCTCTGTGTAGTACTACTCAATGTCTAGTGGACATTGTTCAAGTAAATTTACTGGTACTAGACATTGTTCAAACTAAATATCCAATATAACTGGAATTTGTTCTTGCCACTAGACATTATTCAAGTAATATTTAGGGAACAAAAAAGTTTAAGTATTATATTGAGAAATGATATATGTTTTAGTAATATATTTAGTGCAAATTTCACAAAAAAGACCACGTGCGTAATATTTGATAATAAAGAACTAAATATGGAAAACCTTCTGTTATAAATAATCTATTATAAAATTCACTCTAAAAGTTAGTTACAATTACTTTGTAAAAAACCAAAAATGTAAATAAAAAGCCAAAGATGTTTTTAAAAATGTTAAAAACGTTGAAAAACAAAAGGCGTAAAAAACCAAAAATGTATGTTGTTTACGAGGTTTAATTGAAGTTGTTTTCATTTCAACTTGTTTGAAAATTGGTGACAGGGTCATCAATATTATTATCTCAAATGACTATCTAAATTAAAGTTTAACTATGCGAATAGTAAACATACAATTTAAATTGGGACGGAGAGAGTATAAAATATTTGTTAACTTTCAATTATTTTCTCTAATTTTAATAAATATTTTTTAATATTTAATTGTTCAATTTTTTAATGGTTAGTTGTATTTTTAAATAAATCTGGATGAAAACTCAAGATTGTTATTGAGTCTAAAGTCAGCAAACTAGGTGATGGGCCGATATCCAGAGGACGGCCCAAATGAACCATTTAAACAGCTTCGGGTCAAGCACCTGTGGAATACTCAAGCTGGGCCGGCCCAAGGAGCTGGGCCTAGTTAACCTCAGGCCAAGCGCAGCTGGCAGAGTCAATCCGGAGAAGGAGACGGAGCTGATTGGCTGTTACGGAGCCGGAAAAAGGGGATCGCGCCTTGGCGGGCTAAACTCCATCGGTTACGCTTCACCTTAATTGTTGAGAGCTCGTGTATAAATAGAAGGGACCCGAAAGGGGAGAAGGAGGGAGCTAAATCAAGCTAGTAATACACATCCAATTCTCGAATTCTTGTTCTTAATTTTGTTCTTGCGATCCGCCCTGTAAATCGGATCATTTGGTGGATTTATTGTCCATCAAATTGGTGCTCTCATTGAGAGTTCGAGAATCATACTCGGAAGAAATCCTCCACAACGACGATGGTGCAAACACGTAGCAACGCCAACGTAGGTACCGGAGTTCCCCAACAGGGGGAGAACAGCGCCACCGGAGGTCGGCACCCCCCCATCACCACCGTGGAGGCTGAGGCCCTCATTCAGAGGGTTGGGATCACGACCGAACAATTCAAGGAGGTGCTGGCCGCACTTGCGCCCAACCGCGAGGTAGTGGTGGGAGATGTGGCTGGGGGACCCACAGGCGAGAAGGCTGGACCTGCGGGCTCCCAAGGAAAAAAGAAAAAAGTGAGGCGGTCCCAGAAGAAGAAGGCGACCAAGCCCAATGGGAAGGCTATGATGGCAGATGCGCTCTCCAGGCTGGAAGAAGAGGACGAGTC